GTTCTTTTTATTTATTTTTTTATCTTTTTTTGGTGTTGCTTTTTGATTTTAAAATCTTATAAAATTTATGGAGTAACTAGATGCAATACTGTAAAGCACGCTAAAACTTCCATGTCTTTACCACAAATACAGTTTGAAATAAAGCTGTTATTATTATTATTATCAAAATTAAAATATCAAGTGAATTATAAGAATGAATCTCTTGTATTCATCGGATACATGGTCGACTTTGACAGGACAGTTGTTTCTTCTTAGTTCAGGCTTTTCTAGAAGTACACAGGTGAAAACCCACCTCCAGTGATCAACCCAACACCTCCAGGCTACAAAGTGGATTCACCCATACCACTGAATTCCTGAGACGACAACCAGTCGCCGACCTCATGATTTGTAAATTCTCACAATTCGCGAGATATATCGCAACTAGTGGCCAGTATCGTCAGTGTGTATCTGTCCTGTTCGGTGAGAAACCAAACTTGATGCAGCCTGCTGGTCACGACTCCTCACCACAACAACTTCAGTCACAACTTCATTCTGCAGTCAGTCACGAGATTACCTTTTCAAATGTTGTGTTTTGCAGGAATTCGACTGATTACTTCAAGTTTTGTGTTCAATGAAATGCGAGTAAGATGACTGCTAAAAAGTGTGGCCTAGACGGTGAAACGTTTAGAGAGGGAAACTACTCGCTTGAAATTGCTCAGCATTTGATGACTATGCTTAAATAATTGTATAACGATGCAGTTGAACTCGGAGTTAAAATTGATTATTCCATGAAATTCACGCTCTTTATCGTCAGTTTCAACAAGGATCGATTAATGGATCAGATGAAAACAAAATCCAAGTATAATATAGATGACGTCATGATCTAACAATATTCATAGAATCATTGAAAACTGGAAAACACGGGATAGTTTTTCCATTGTAATGTGTGACTCTTTAGCAGTACACATCCAGGACTGTATCTGGGATCGAACCTGTGACTTCCAGAATACCAGATCAAGTACAGATTTATTTCACTAGATGGATAATGGACAACAAATTAAACCATAGGAGATGTTTTGCCTTATCTGCTGTGATCCTTGTTACCTATGTAGAAGAGCCGGACTGTGTCACCTATCAGTGATGAAGACGGCAGTAACCAGTGAAAGAAGACCTGATCTCTGTATCCAACTGATTTGTTCACCATTGTGTACAGTAAAGTCGAAAAGCCCTTCTGTGGAATCAATAATAATCAACACTTCAATTTTCTGTCTCACTTTTCTTTCGTTTATCCACAAACTTCGATTTCAAAATTTGCACTCATTTTGACATCTTAAACTCAGTCTGTTATCCTAGGCTGACGTGAGAGATTTCACAATCCTCTTAGAAAATGAAATAAGAATATTCAAATCCAGAGATCTACAAGTTGAAATCTAATCAGTGTTCAGTGTTTGCGATCGAATGACGAGCAATTTCTACGTAGTGCCACTGAGGAAGCCTGTGTGGGAGAATATTGGATTTCTCCTAAAGTGGTTTTCAAGTAGCGGTTACAACTGTTTTAGGAAGAAAGAGGAGACTAGACATTAGTAGCTCTCTACGCACTCCTTGAAGCTAATGGAGAAGCGGAGAATGGTGAAACAAAATACGAACTCCTGCAGAGATGGAAAGCAGCAGGAGAAGCTGATTTAAATGTACATTGCGCTAAATAAAGAAACGAAGAAGAGTAAAGGGAAAGACAAATCGCTATACCGCAAAACACTGGCCTGCAACTGAAGAACAAGAGACAAGCCTCAGGCGAAAGAGACTTCAGAACACTGTATCAGATAACCAGGTTTTCAGCGAAGATAGAACTGAATTAAATCCCGCAAAATCCCATAATCCGAAAATGTAGCACGAACTTGAAGACTAACAGGTGTAAACTAAAAAACTTGTGGAAGAAGGAGCAGGCAGTGAAGATTGGACTTCAGCTGAACACAGAGAAAATGTTGGTGATGAAGATAAACAACTGACAATAAAAACCACTAATCATTATGAGTGGAATGAAATAGAAAGTGTTTACTTCCATCACTTCTTTAAAAAGTATCGTTTGAACTAGAAGAGTAACAAATGACGATGTCAAAACCAACACCAGAAAGGCAGAGTGGAACTTCATCGCTTTGAAATCAGTTCGGAAATCTTCTGCACTCCACAGTATGAAGAAGAAAATTTGGATTTTAAGCACAATTGAAAAGTCAATTGTCCTACATGTGTGAGAATGTATCGCTTTCAACCGACTTCAGAATTTTACCAACAGCTGCCTTCTGTGATTCCCAGAAAGAATTAGGAGCAAGAAACTCCGTTGGAACAACCGAACCAGTAAGCTTCTGCTTAACAAATATTCCTGAGCAAATTTAAACGAATGTGATAGACGTTCAGTAAACTGTCCAGTGACATCGTGCACAAGTTCAGTACTCGGGTGGAACCACAATGAGAAACGACGAGTTCACTGAAGACCTGAGTGTGAGATGAAGGAGACTGTTCAGGGAAGAAATGAGAGACTATCCGCCTAGTGTGGACAGCTGAAAAAGACCACCGAGAACAGAGTATAGTTTAGATGTGCTGTTTAATCCCTATGTTCCAGTTGGAACCAAAAGGAATAGTAATAATAATGAACAAATGCACTGAAATTCCCATACAGTGATAATCATATCCATCAGCTTGGCGTACTATTTTCACAAATAATAACAATTTATAGAACACTTGCAAGTCACCGAAAATGAAGTAGTTCATACGTGAACCTGTACCAGCATATTTGAGTTAAGTGGCAACTAGATGCATAAACAGTGCGGTTATGTGTCACTTAGTTATTAGTAGACGTCAAATTAAAGCAAGCTAGAAATTTTCGGTCATCAACCATCTTTCTTGTAACCTAAGAAGTAGAGCTGAAATACGTCTCTTATGAGTAGACAAATTATTTACTTAGTAATCAACACCAGAAGCCCTGATCACCGTATCCAACTGCTTTGCTCACCACTGTGTACAATAGGATCAGTAAATGAAACGACGAAAACAATCACAATCAACACTGTAACATTCTATCTCATTTATCTCTCCATACTTCCCGTATTCATATTTTTTATCGGAATTCACTTGACTATTTGTCTGCCATAATTTGACTCTATTACTCATTCATAATATGCATCGATGCAGCCTCTCTAATTCTACTGTAAACAGTGAGTCTTTTAACACTGAAGAATTTGTCTACTCACATCATTCTCGGAATTGTGTTGTCGAAACCTTCTGTCTACAACTCCAAGTCACCATGACAACTGTGTGTTCAAACATTTTGTAAATTGTAATCTGATTTAGTTGAGTATGTTCACATTTGGAGAGAATCCACGAAACTAAGCGAAGTCGTATTATCCTGCAAATGTGCTTGTTATTCCTCTGTTCAAACTAACAATGAGAAATGATTGTAAGATAGGAGTAAGTTATAATGCAAGGAATAATACAGTCACAGGTGAATTTTCCCATCACTTCATCTCTAATATGACCATGACATTTTACACACAACACACACCACCATTATTGAAGATTGTAGGGAGAAGTCAAAGTGATGTCAAAATATTATTATTATTATCACTTTTATTACTATTTTTACAATTATAACTACTACTAAGACTACAACTAAGACTAAATCTACGACTACAGATCAGTACTAAAGTCTAATCAAGTGAAAGAGAAAAGAAGAACCACGTTGTCTTCAAATGATGCATGATGATAGTTGAATTCATTTGTTCACCTCACACGGATTACGGTAGTAAATATCCTGTCAGTCTGTGGTATGCAATCTTCAGAAATAGAAGAAAAGTTGAGAAAATCATGAATGAATGGCAGTTTCAAGAGAATCGAGGACGATACTGAAGGAATGGAAAACGTTTCATCAAGTGAATCAACCACTAATTTTCGACATTTTCAGGCTCAGATGACTGAATTACTCAAATCGATTGTACTCCAGTCGATACGCTGGATCATATCCTTCATGCATTCAAACATGGACAAGACGTGTATTAGCACCTCAGTTAAGAGCATCACACCAAACAACTGCCACAACAATCAATCCGAAAGAAGCTGAAGCTTCCCATCTAACTTTAATACTGATTGATGAAATTTTCACTACACAGTGTTCAGTTATTCATTAGAAGTGAACATCTCATCTACTTGGCTCTAAACACCAACACGACATTATTCAATACGACATGAGATGTGGCGATGAATAATACACGGTAATTGGACTGACTTTTGTTATAGGGATTGTTTGGATTGATTCTGGTACATAAACTCACCCTGAAATTCGTCTTAACATTCTCATAAATTGCTCTGGTTTCTAAAAAGAGGAGATGAAGTCCGTCGTCAGAAAATGCCTACTTAATATATACACATGAAAAGGCGCATATGGGAAAACAAATAAAATCGTGTAAGTCCATCGTTTCTAGTCATCGAGACTAATATCTGCAAGGTACGCGAAAAATCTGAGTGTGAGACCCTCTTTCACCTGAGACTCGACATTTACAGTATATTAGACTGTTGAATATGCCGTGCAAAATATTCAACTGCAAATTTTTCAGCTTACCATAAGCTATCACCGACAGGTGTTTCAAATAACTGTAATTTGTTACCCGTTGAGTGAACTCATTAATTTCTGGAATGGAAAGCAAAGTCAAGCACATATCATGTAGAGGCATGATGACTTGTGGACAGATGAGGACGGCAGAAGGCATTGCAAATTCCGAAGACGCCAACATCGACCGAGTAAATATTCACATTTCAATTGAAACCTTTCAGCAGCATAAACAAATATATACATATTTACATCAAGCATTTTCTGAAGACCGCGGACGGTTGTCCATGTCTGAAATCGTCACTTATATATTGCAGATCACTCAAATGACTAGAGACAATCAGTGACAAGAAACTGTAGCAACCAACCAACCAGGAATCCATCGATCAACAAATATGCCGGAGATAATCGAGATGCATCAGACAGACGCTGAGGAGGCCATCGGTTGACATCGCTCACCAGGCCATCGCTCGAACTGAATCTGAGTACAAATCGACGAGTAGGGTGCATCTTCGAGAGTAGTGAATTTGATGAATCCATGTGTAAGTGGATGAGCGCCCATTGGAAATCTTGAGGCTAGCTGAATAGCACCGAAGAGAAGAGAACGAAGTGGAGATGTGCTGGTGAAGCCACATGTCCAACTTGAAATCCAAGGGAACAATAATATTATTATTAATACAACCCTAGAAATACAGTCAGTCGAAAGTGCACTTTCTGTAAGTAGAATCATCAAAGTATTTGCAAGGAAGTAGACTTTCTCTTTGTAGAGAGTAGCTTCGTCGTTTACGAAAAACGTAATATGACAGTCACTATCAATTGTTACTCAGTCGGATGAATTGATTTACATCTGCCTGTGAAATACTGGGATAAAACTGACGGTGCAATCTTCCACAAAGCAATGACATGTTTCGAATTACCTTCAGTGCGATTAATCGTCAGAAGACTATCACATTCACTTAAATCCGGCTGTTGTCCGTTACCTGTTCAAGTAGAAAGGATTTTGTTGACAGCATTTCGTTGGATACAATGAACATGGTGAACATGCTTAGTATTACAGATCACCAGTAAGTATTGTGTGATTTGACTTACGGCTTGGTCCGGCTGAAATACACACAGGTCAACACATACAAACATATCACCAGTTTATTATAACATCAAAAATATGTGCACGTGTAGGTTGTGAATTTCGCCAACCTGCTGATACAGTGAAATTGATTCTCGGTGAGTAAGCAATGAGTGACGGATCTTCAGAGAGAGATACTTGAAGTTCTGAATCTTCATAGGGATTGACCATGTGTCAGTGAACTGCCCATCTTCGGATAACGCGATGTGCACACTATTACTGACTAGATCTCAGTTGGTCTCAATTCACCTCTGAACACATGGAGCGGCTGGGCATCAACTATTCAAAATGACATCGTCATTCACAAAGCGATTGTGGTGCGTAGCATTGGAGAGTAATCACTTGTTGTGTTTTCGACAGCCTCATAATCCAACGGAGTCCCAATACACAGACACTGGATCACAAAATGACAATAGACGTATGCGGAATCACTAATTGGTGTCATCTATTGTCCAGTGACTGACGAATTCATTCACTCATTCAAATATCTAACGGATAAACACATCTATCTTTATGTCACATGCTTGCGCTATCTACGATAAAAGAAATTACCATTTAAATACGTTTGACGTATTGAGAAGAATGGGAAACTTTAGGCAGAAGTGAAGCTAACCTGCACAACCAATAATATCAATGCTTACATTCAGATCCATGGAGTAGCGATTCCCTCCAGAGAGTTCTACTCTCAGATATGTAGAAGTAATTCCCTGGATAAAATGTAAAATGAAGAGAATATTAGTGGCCTGTAGTTCAGGTTTTTCAGTGAATAAATCAACATCTTTCACCTTTACGTATCATTTCGCGTAGATTCGATAAAATGGTAGATACGCTTTACTCTGTCATCCTGTTTTTATCCAAGTGATTGATAGTGAAATACGGGATGATCACCTCAAGCAGCTGATAACAGTCTGACACACGTAGAGTATCGATAGAGTGACTCAATTGAATCGCTTTCGAAAATCAGTCCCGACAACTCGCCGATTGAAACGCAAGGTGAACAACATCAAACAGAATGTGTTATGAAGTAGGAAGGCGTACTTACCATATGACTGCTGTACCTCTCTGATGGTCCGTGAAATGTCTGTGAAAACAAATGAGTACACAACAAATTCAAGATAGATGACAATCGGGATAATGAAAAGTGCTCAATTCCTAACCAACAGATACTCAAATTGAATAGGTGGCATTATTCAGACATATTGTTTAAACAACTGAACGTCAACTTTCACATGTCTGTCTGATATTCACTAGTGGCGTTCATTGAAAGTCTATTCATCAACGAGGGATTTCAATAGTCTGGTCACTTTGCTTACAGTTTGAAGATGAACAACAAACATTTCACGTACTTCTGTAAATTTCCGGTTGGTAGTAGTTTCCAGATGTACTGTATAGACAAGTGACAACTAAAAGAAGGATTATTTCTCAATATTGATTGAATTTGTTGACTTACAATTAGTGATACTTCTTCCCGATTCTCTAGCCTGTGTTTGCAAGCGATCTGGAGTGGGGAGGAGACAAACAGTCTGTTATCTCGTGCAATATAAATCATGATTGCAAGACATGGAAGAGAGTGTAGTCAATATTGCTCGCTTCTCAAATATCGAAATAATGAGTCATGACTAAACAAACGGTAGAATGAAATCACCAGTTCTCTGTCTCCACTGATGCCTAGATAGTGGTGTTTACACACATTTGAACTGCATTCGACAATTATTTACTGCATGTTCCTGTACAAAGTATCTAACATCCTCCAGCGACTAGTGATGCATTACCACACATTCAGTTCAAGAAACAAAAGGTTTGTACGAAACATCGTGAAATTGTTATTAGTTATATTGTGACTGTCATCGAATCACTGGTTGTAAATCTTGATCACACCACTATCATTCTTAGTAGGAGACATAACTGGAGGCTGTGAACCCTCCACATTTGTTGAAAGATTAAGACAGGAAGAAAGAGGAGACTAAGTGTGGGACTTAGTGAAATTGTAGCTGCAAGTGATATCATTGTGAATAATAAATTTCCTCCGAAACATCACACAGTGAATAAACCTATTGTACTCCCTCATATGTCCAACAATCACATTATTTTCAACTATATATTACTACTACTAATAATAATAATAATACTATCACAGAGTTAAATTACCACACGCAGACCATTGAATCGAAGCATCACCGACACAACAAATTAAGAAATAACATACAAAATACACATGGTAAGTAAAAGCAGGCTTGTAAAATCACCTTCCAATGTATTCGCTTGTTCTTCCGCAGTGGCTTTCCTGTTATTCGCGTCTATTAATTGTCCTGTAAAACAATCGCAAATGTTCAACAAATGAATTGACGATGTCTATAGGAATGATGGCAAATGTCAAATCTGTTCATCAGTCACGCTGAATTCGTCTGCATTCACAAAGGCTTCCAGTGTTACATGCTGTATATACTTCCGTCAACCACCTCCAACTCAGATGATTGTGAATTCGGAGAGAGAGAATACGATAAATCATTCCACAAATGAAAATGAAAATTCATTCAATGAACCTAGAAGTTACTACTATATCAAATGTTGGGCTAATGCATGAAATATTGAAGTATATTGAAAAGAATTTGCTCACCTTCAAAAGTGATGATGGCACGGTCTAAATTGTTCAATACGCGAGTAAGACGAGGCCCATCTTCAAAACAAGAAAGCTGAGTGTCAACTCATTCGATTAATCTTGGTTTCATGTCATGACTTGTTCAGTTTCAAGAATGAGCGACACAGAGAAAATGTGTGTCAGCATGTTTCCCATTCTATGAGAATGAATAATACTGGTTGAAATGTCCAATTAGTAGCGTATTGAAGAGAATATTTCACTCGACAATATGGAAGGATACTGCTTGAAATATCGTCTCACTCACTACACAAGAAGTAATTGCTGTTCTACTAGAAAATCTTGATTGTCAAGCCTCCTCATTTAGGCGTTAACTATCACAGATGGGAACTGAGTAGCTTCGCACCATCATCGCCTACACAATGTGAATACATTGAGAATTTCGCTTTACACCGTTTGGAAACATGAAATGATGAAGTCGATTTCTACATATCCACATAGTGCAGATTCCCAGAGTCCACCACCAATATCCTGCTGGATTAGATGAAGTTGTTTCACTCACTGCATTTCTTTGCAGCAGAATTTACATGATGTCTCACCACCAGACTAGTCGATAATAACCCAGAATTAGCCGACAAACTACTAATTGTGGAGAGCAGTATTCGAAAGTGGGACATTGTAGAATTACCGAATATTGATTCCTGAGTTGACTGGATATTCGACAGGCAACTTCACATTTCAAAAAAGTTTACAAGTCAGACACAATTGGATTATAGTAGACTAAGGCCAACATGAAAGCTTAAATTACCGTTCAATGTGAAATGACTCACTTCGAAGCCGAGGCGGCAGATTAGCTTCAGAAAAGGAGAAATAATTAATTCATTGATTTATTGATAATATGTGCAAGTGAGTATATTTAATCGCACGAATCAATTGGTCGACAGTGAGGGAGAATCACTCATCTATCATTTCGTAAGAGACAACGTAGATGCTTATCTTGTGCACTCAATCTGCACTGAGTAGGAGTTTCAAATTGATGCGATTTAATGTCAGTTTGTAATCGTGAAACTGAAATCATCAATGCACACAATTTGTGCAATAGAAATGCATGAAGTGTATGCGAATTCGTGTTATCGGTATGTGTCAGAAAAATGACTAGATTGGGTTGTCATGTCGTCTGTACCTCAAGTTCATCAGAAAATGATATTCACATCGACGCCTGATAGATCTGGTCGAATGCAATGGTTCATAAGTTTGCACAAATCATCGATCATCAAATACTCTAAAAGCAGTTCTACCATGTGAGTTCTCTACTTTTAAGTCAGGTACAAAATATGAATGCAATATGTACAGAAAGAAATTGAGTAGCGCTTACCCGTCAGTAGAGATAAACTCAGGAGAAGGAGGAACGAAGAGATTTCTATTGATAGGAAAGCGAACGCCATGATAATGTGTAGTAGCTTGAAATCTGATGTATTTATACAAAAATTTATTCTAAAGATTCAAATCGACAAATGAAAATAGTAAAGATATCGCAACATTTCCAAACATTTTCAATTACTGTTATCCACGAGGTCACGGCGTGATTATCACTAATTAAATAAATTGAACTTTATCACGGAATGTAGTTAATTTTCTTCAAAGAAGGTGTAATTAGTCAGACAGATAAGGTAAACTTTCGCATCATTTCATATTAAAAATTTCTTCACTCTACTGTAATAACTTATTCTTGTGTTATCAGACGGTCGGAACAAGGAATAGACTCTTCAAAGTATTCCCTTCAGGCTGTTATAGTTGTTATACGTTAACAATAACACCAGGTTATGTGACGGATACACACGTTTTTCACCTAGAATAACGCATTAGATATAGGCTGACGAAATAAGCGGTATTTCTGTGACAAATGTGGTGAGTAGTTGACTGTACATACAAAGATACTATGAAATGGATGAAGACGATGAGTATTTCCATTGGGAAAGGATTCAACGTGCAGGATGAACGTTGACCAGTTAGTTGAACGATTTCCAAGGGACTTGGTGAGTGGCTAATACACACAGACAAAATGCTTTTAAACAGGAGAAAGGAAGACTGTTGTAAGTATAAAATATTTGCATTTCCCAATGAATGAAAAACAACGCGAAGTTGTTATTACAGACATTTCGCTACCTAATATTATTAGCTTTGTTATAGAATTAATTAGAGAGAGTTGACAAAATCTCAGCATATGTATAACAGCCTAATCATCGTTCGTTCGTCAGCATTGGCTGACTTTCGAGCGGTCACTCTGGCCGATTGTCAAAGATAACAAAGAGGTAATTTGTGGGAAAGTAGACTCAGATCAACTCGAATGTTCATTTGGAGGTCAAAATAACAATGGAGATCTGTAAATCAAGTAAAAGAGGTAATGGTGTGTTGAGAGCTGTCTGCATGCAAAAAAATTGTAAACGTTAATTTACGTCCATATTAGTCTGTTTATTAGGTGTATCACACAGTGAAAAAATATCATTTACTGGATGACGTTTCTGACAATGTGAAATTACTTACTACCACAGTGATCAAGTTTTACACACATATATTGCTTTGACAGTTAGCGTCAATGTCCACGTCTCGAATCAGGGACATGAGAAGAATCATCAGAAAGCTTAACCTTTAGGAAACCACCAGACAATTACAGAGACGTTAAATTGTCTGAATATGAATCACAGATACATGACGTGGTTTTCTGATAAACGGCTGTGAACGGATAACAGAATAATCTTCAGCCAGAAAACTACCAATCAAAAGAGGTTTCTTCTCCGCTAACAGTAACGCTAATAATTAATGCATATAAAAATCTGTGAATACCTGTTGATTTCCTCAATAGACGACCTGTTGCCTCGCCCTTCCTTGTCTTCTGTCGTCACAATAGTAGTATATCTACCCCGGTATCAAACAAAGTTTACAATAAACCAGGTATAGATTGCTGGATTTGATAAGCGTGTAAAATTATAAAAGCAGCGTGTGTCTGCATGATGAATTTGCTTATCACATTCGTGTTGATTTCGTCATTTCATCAGGGAATGCGGGATGCTGTAACCAGGTCAAATTTGTTTCAGTCCATTATTCTTGTTCAGACAATTTCGACTCCATTTGATATGAAGTGCTTCTGATATTAGACTACCTTTGTGATTTCTGACTTCATAGTCGATTATTTCAATACTGTCGAAATCAATTTCGTGGCAGGATTCTATAGTGTGTAGACCACCATCTATGGCTGGTGACTTTTCAAGATTTTTGAGTTCAGTTGGATCTCTCAGTGGTCGAACAGATTCCCTACAGCCTTCATTTCTTCTGATTTTGATTTCTCGAGATGTTTGCCAGATTTAAATGACATCACATTCAGGCATTTTATTTTGTGGACACAATTAAAATGAGAACCCTTAGGGATTTAGTCTGTTTTACGAAGAAGGTTGCTTTGAAGTGTTTCTGGTGTTTTGAAGAAAACTCTGATGTTGTGCTTGCTGAGTACTCTTCTGATATCGTCTGACATCTCTGTTCTGTATATGGAATGACAACTGTTGAGCCTCAAGTCTTTGGAATAACTTCCCGACCACATTTAATGGCAGTGTTGATTTTGTTGATGAAGTTCTTTGGATAGTCATTTTGCTTGAGAGTCTCAGTGGTTTTTGACATCTCTTCTTCCGTTTTCTTCATTCTCATCCGTTATCAAAGGTTGTGCTCGCCTAGAGAGACTTGAAACAACTGATACCTTCGCGCTGATGAGGCGTGACGACTTGAAGTCTAAATATTTATTGGAGTGCGTTTTCTTTCTGAATGTAGATATATTGAAATATCCGTTTTCCCGCCTACTATCTACGCAGGCAGTCTATAAATGGTAGTTTATCGACGTCTGATTCTGCTTTTGAAGCAGACTGGATGTTGGAATATCTATTGCTCCGTTTCTGCAAGAATGAATTGCTTAGATCTCGTTGTAGCACTACAAAAGAAAGTATCATCAATGTATCTTAAGCATGTTTTGGCGTCAGTATGCTTGAAAAGATGCTATCTTCGAATCTATTCATAAAAAGATCAGCGACTACTGGGGAAGCTAGTGAATCCAGAGCAACACCATTTGTTTGTTTATATAAATTCCCTCTAAATGTAAAATGCTTACGTTCATGACAGAATATTAGGCTGTTGATTATTTCACTGGTGTCCAGTCAACATCTTTGTGATAGGATTCTGTGTGACACTCACTATTAAAGCGGAAATGATATCAAGAATTTCGAAACTGGAGATAGCAGAGTATAACGAGCAAATATCACAAATGAACGCAATATCTTTCTTATGAATTTAACCAGGTTCTCACTAGATACGAAATCATACGAAACTTTTATAATTCTTTGAGTGTACCTTTACAGTGGTTGTAAAATCGGAGGTATTTAGAGACAGAGGATATCAGTGAAATAGTAAACTCTAGTTTTCATATAATGGCGTGATTATCAGTAATTAAATAAATGAACTTTATCACGGAATGTAGTTAGTTTTCTTCAAAGAAGTGTAATTAGTCAGACAGATAAGGTAAACTTTCGCATCATTTCATATTAAACATTTCTTCACTCTACTGTAATAACTTATTCTTGTGTTATCAGACGGTCGGAACAAGGAATAGACTCTTCAAAGTATTCCCTTCAGGCTGTTATAGTTGTTATACGTTAACAATAACACCAGGTTATGTGACGGATACACACGTTTTTCACCTAGAATAACGCATTAGATATAGGCTGACGAAATAAGCGGTATTTCTGTGACAAATGTGGTGAGTAGTTGACTGTACATACAAAGATAGTGTGAAATGGATGGAGACGATGAGTATTTCCATTGGGAAAGGATTCAAAGTGCAGGATGAATTATGACCAGTTAGTCGAGCGATCTTCAATGGATTGTTGAATGACTAGTTCACACAGACAGTGTGGTTTCAAACAGTATATAGTCAAACTCTATTCAGTTGTTTCTTAGGGACATATGAGAAGACATAGTATTGAGTTCCTAAGAATAAGTGTGAGCAGATTATGTGTGAGTGGACTATGCAAATCCTTTACTGGATAGTCAAAAATCCAATCCTGTCACTCGGACGACAACCACGAGCATACTGACGAAGAGAGCGGGTATAATGACTTCTCCAACAGCAGCTCGGGACCTTAGGCAGCGAGAACCAATCTCACACAAGATAATGACCCCAAGCTTCAACACCAAAAGAAGGTTACGATCATCGAAAGCTTAGCGTGTCAAATGAAATCAGAACACGAAAGAACGGAAGATTTCTAATAAAAGCTGGAAAAGAATTTCGGTGAGATCAGATATGGCTATATGAATGCCTAAAACAGAATGCCAAATCGTCCCTCCGTCTAATGAGATGGATCTGCACAAATCAAAAACTGATTAAACCGATTTCGATGTAGCTCCAAATTACATTAAACTAACTATAATACAGCGAAATAGAAGTAATTAGATGCCTGTTGACAGCGAATATTCCTGTGAATCTCTCAATCTCAACTATTTGACAGCCTAGATTGTCCCAGTCTCAATGCTCTTTCTAAATTTGAAAAAGCCTTACAAACAACACAATGATAATATTGATGAAAGCGCCATTAACAACAATCGGAAATCTAAGTCGACTGGTAGAAACAACATTATACATAAAGTGGATTACCCACTGTGGATTTCGCGTTGCACGCTGACAAGTTCAGATAAATTACTGATTTTCAATTCTGGTAGTGCTTCCCACAAACTTCCCACAATTAACAAGACCGAAAAACTCAAGACTGTAACTACACGGAAAAACAATCGACCGAACGGATATTAACCGACTCAATTTAGAATACAGAAATTAACTGAAAACAACATCGAATTGTGAAAATCATTGTATTCAATCATTTTATTCTGCAATTAACACAATAATCAGAATGTGAACACAACATTCAACACAACACTAAGCTACAATACAATATACTACACCACACCACACAATTACAGCTTCATTGTTGCACACGTGATCGTCATTTCAATGATCTCGTCATCCACTGAAGCAAAATCACCATCGTCATCATCACGAATCTTCTTACTCATCCTCTTCCTCAGTGTCCGTTTCACTTTCTCCACCAAAGCCATCATCGTGCACCGATCATACGTGTAGACATCACCACATCCACTCACACGATGCATGTGATCCAGCATCATTCGATGAACATACACCTGAGGATGCAGGTGATAATGTGTGATATGATGTTCGGTGGCGAGATCACCCCTCTCTCGTGACAACACACACATCTCAGTCAACTTCTCCTCCAACATCCTCTCCACATTCACAGCCATCTCCACAATCCACTTGATTTCGTCACGTGTGTCCTTCAGCTGAGTGATGGTGGTGAGTGGTCGGATGTCTGTGAGAGTGTATTTGCCACCACGAGTTGTCTGCCAGTCAATCAGATTCTGACCAATGGCTCGATGACGACGAGCACAGAGCTGGAAGAATGTGTGGAATCCTGTCATTCGGAGATCGTGTGTGTTGCACTGAGCAGCCAACGAGTCGTATGTGATTGTCGCTGACTGTGTCACATTGATGATCTCATTCAGTTTCTTCTCACACTCCTTCGGATATTTCGAGCTCATCATGACTGAGTGCATGGCTGACTGACTGACTAGCTGGTTGACTCGTCGATTGACTGACTGACTGGCAGTCTGTGTGACTTATTAAACATGCACTACGCCTTTTATATTGTGTGCATCAATCGAGGGTTGACTGATTCCACTTTCTCATTGGTCCACTCTTCATCATCACCATCATTATTGTTATTATTGTGATTGTTGATTGGACACTGGAAATCCGTGGTGCGTGTGAAATCGTGTCATTCAGTTGATTGATGATAGTGTTGTTGTCTCATTTCAATGCACACGATCAGGTCGTGAACTTCGATTGATGAGAATTGTTGTTATTGCTTGAGTCATGATTTCCTATAATGTATGTTGTTGATGTTTTTGTTAGTTTTGAATATGTTGATTTTGGTGATAGCTGCACGTTCTACTGGTTCTGATGATTCGTGGAAATAATATTGCGCGTTTGAACTTTCTTTGGAATATTTACTTTTCTATTTCAGAATTGATGTTTCTCATTTCATGATCACCAGTTATTATTATTATTATTGCTCCCTTGGGTTCCTAGTGGAACATAGGGCTTCAACTTCACCAGTTATTGGGTAATATCAAATGTATGCATGTAGCTGGATCTGGGATTCATTTTAGCACTTGGTCGTGGGGTTTGATGCTAAGGACTGCTAAGCCTCATCGTGAATTGTTGGTGTTTTAAAGTTTCCGGTTGTGTCATCCATGATGCGTGTCGCAAACATGACGAAATATGCAGCCTTGATTTTATTAACTGTCTACATCCATCAAATAGAGCACTACGTTCTGTTACTTCTTAAGTTAGACAGTGAGACATCCTTTGGGCTTTCACTGTTAGTGTTGCAATTTGTAGAGCTGTACTCTCTGAATAAGTATCAAGACCATGACTGCTCCCAAAAGATGTAACCATAACGGAAGTGTTGTAAAGACACGAATTCAACAATGTGAGTGAAATTCCGAGTGAATTACATTCAGATGGCATAAACCAGTTACGTTTCTGCCGTAGCAATAAGCAGCACCCATCACCATAGTGTGCTTTCGTATTCGTCCATGGAAAACTGGGCAGTGGGAGCACGTCGCATTCACAAATACCTCCAGCCATATTACCCGAATCTCATCGTCTCTCGCAGGTAATAGCTCATCATAATCATGCAATCGAAGGACACACAAGTGTAGCTCATCTGTGGAAAGCATTGCGTAGAAAGTAATGGATTTTTTAGAAATGCTGAAATGGGTAATTTTATCGTGATTATAAAAATTGGTAGGAGATTCAGGTCTGCGAAACCAGTCGTACAGTTGATGTTGTGCCTACGAGCCACCATGGTGGCATCAAATGCGAGAGCTATAATAAGTGGAGGCATGAAATGGCATCTAAATCGAAATTTTGCTTGAGGAGAAAAGACAGGGTGTTTATTAGATGCATCCGTGAACTGTCAAGTTCCTCTCAAGAGACTAAATTCTCACAGATAAATCTGTAATATCTCACATGATGTGAGTACAAGCGATAATGAATTGTGGACCAACGGTACCTGTTTAAATCTGATTAAAAATGACTACATAAGTCAAACCACAATTATATTTGACTCATTTCGGCTCCAGAAATCGAAGTGAATATACATTGTTTTTATTCGTGAGGATAGGGGTAGAATATATTTCATGCTGTTACGTTTCAGATTCCGTGGAGGCAAACTTATTTAATCATTTCACAATCTCATTCGAAATCACTGAAATTAGAATGTGAGAATTGTGTTACTGGTGATTTCACAAACCGCTCAGCGTATTCACTAGCCAGAGAAGAGTGAATAAGTGTGTCACAGTCAGCGGTGATGAACAATTAAGAAAGACGGAAATCAAGATGTCTAGATGTGTTATCGGTTGACATCTACGCCAGCATTGCCAAATGGTTATGCGTTGTTGACTGTTTCGCAAGGATCTTACCAGTCTTATGAATTTGTTTCTAAATATAATAACTACCGTATAGCTGATGAAAACTAATTGTCAAGAGGAAAATGTTCTCCTTTGTTTCAATCTTTTCTTATGACTCAGTATGGGAATATGACGTGCATTTCGAGAAACAAATAAAAGGTTAAAAACTTGTGAAAAATTCCAGGAAACAAAGAACAAACATCGGTGCGGAATGACATGGATCCACCTTATCTCATTGGTTCTCATCACCTACATACAACCTATTATCTCAAGCTAATGTAAGTCAGCGTAAAACTTGACATACACATTTCTGTTGAACTAGTATACTGTAACGGTGTCACGTTGAGATAAAACATCAGCACGATAAGGTAGCTGAAGTATTGCTATGATAATATAGAATGCTGTGGAGATGTTTCTCGAAAGTTAATTGAGAAATTTGTTGTTAGGGTGGTAACTAAACACGAGTGATAGTTGCGTAGTTAGATGACATAGGATGAAACTTTGGTGTGCAACGAGTCTAATGAGAAGATGCTGGTGTGATATCATAAGATTGAGAGGAATTATCCTCCATGGGAGTCAAGTGGAAATCAGGGTTTGGTAGAGGTTAAAAACATAAGCTGCTGATATCAGAAAACAAGAAATAAATGAGAGATGAGTCACCAGGCAATGAAAGTCGAATGACAAGTACCTTCTGAACTCATAGTTCAGTTTTCAGCCGTTGTACCTGCATAGCCTCAGCCAACCAAAGAGAATTTCAGATAAATTGTCTATGAATTATTTTGAGTGATGCAAGTGTGTCTACTCAGTGTCATGTGACTATCAGATATTTGATGATTGATGAGGTTGAACTGATTGGCCCAGTTCACCGCAACCTCCTTCTCAAATGTTAGAAGAATTTGACATAGATACTCCTTTCTGTCTTTCAAATTTAACTGAACTGATATACAGAGTTAGTGCTGACATGTGAGGAGTACATTTCCATCAAAGACTGCACCATTAAAGAAAATGTTCAGAATACTGGGAATAGTTTGATGATATAGACATTAGAACTCAAGCAATTCACGATAATGCTTAGTAGTCTTTAGCATCAAACCCCAGTAACAAGAGCTAAAATGAATCCCAGGTCCAGGTACATGCATATATTTAATATTACCCAATAACCGGTGATCATGACATGATAATTTCTACCCACTACTTTCCACAGATGAGCTACACTTGTGTGTCCTTCGATTTCATGATTATGATGAGCTATTACCTGCGAGAGACGATGAGATTCGGGTAATATGGCTGGAGGTATTTGTGAATGCGACGTGCTCCCACTGCCCAGTTTTCCATGGACGAATACGAAAGCACACTATGGTGATGGGTGCTGCTTATTGCTACGGCAGAAACGTAACTGGTTTATGCCATCTGAATGTAATTCACTCGGAATTTCACTCACATTGTTGAATTCGTGTCTTTACAACACTTCCGTTATGGTTACATCTTTTGGGAGCAGTCATGGTCTTGATACTTATTCAGAGAGTACAGCTCTACAAATTGCAACACTAACAGTGAAAGCCCAAAGGATGTCTCACTGTCTAACTTAAGAAGTAACAGAACGTAGTGCTCTATTTGATGGATGTAGACAGTTAATAAAATCAAGGCTGCATATTTCGTCATGTTTGCGACACGCATCATGGATGACACAACCGGAAACTTTAAAACACCAACAATTCACGATGAGGCTTAGCAGTCCTTAGCATCAAACCCCACGACCAAGTGCTAAAATGAATCCCAGATCCAGCTACATGCATACATTTGATATTACCCAATAACTGGTGAAGTTGAAGCCCTATGTTCCACTAGGAACCCAAGGGAGCAATAATAATAATAATAACTGGTGATCATGAAATGAGAAACATCAATTCTGAAATAGAAAAGTAAATATTCCAAAGAAAGTTCAAACGCGCAATATTATTTCCACGAATCATCAGAACCAGTAGAACGTGCAGCTATCACCAAAATCAACATATTCAAAACTAACAAAAACATCAACAACATACATTATAGGAAATCATGACTCAAGCAATAACAACAATTCTCATCAATCGAAGTTCACGACCTGATCATGTGCATTGAAATGAGACAACAACACTATCATCAATCAACTGAATGACACGATTTCACACGCACCACGGATTTCCAGTGTCCAATCAACAATCACAATAATAACAATAATGATGGTGATGATGAAGAGTGGACCAATGAGAAAGTGGAATCAGTCAACCCTCGATTGATGCACACAATATAAAAGGCGTAGTGCATGTTTAATAAGTCACACAGACTGCCAGTCAGTCAGTCAATCGACGAGTCAACCAGCTAGTCAGTCAGTCAGCCATGCACTCAATCATGATGACCTCGAAATATCCGAAGGAGTGTGAGAAGAAACTGAATGAGATCATCAATGTGACACAGTCAGCGACAATCACATACGACTCGTTGGCTGCTCAGTGCAACACACACGATCTCCGAATGACAGGATTCCACACATTCTTCCAGCTCTGTGCTCGTCGTCATCGAGCCATTGGTCAGAATCTGATTGACTGGCAGACAACTCGTGGTGGCAAATACACTCTCACAGACATCCGACCACTCACCACCATCACTCAGCTGAAGGACACACGTGACGAAATCAAGTGGATTGTGGAGATGGCTGTGAATGTGGAGAGGATGTTGGAGGAGAAGTTGACTGAGATGTGTGTGTTGTCACGAGAGAGGGGTGATCTCGCCACCGAACATCATATCACACATTATCACCTGCATCCTCAGGTGTATGTTCATCGAATGATGCTGGATCACATGCATCGTGTGAGTGGATGTGGTGATGTCTACACGTATGATCGGTGCACGATGATGGCTTTGGTGGAGAAAGTGAAACGGACCCTGAGGAAGAGGATGAGTAAGAAGATTCGTGATGATGACGATGGTGATTTTGCTTCAGTGGATGACGAGATCATTGAAATGACGATCACGTGTGCAACAATGAAGCTGTAATTGTGTGGTGTGGTGTAGTATATTGTATTGTAGCTTAGTGTTGTGTTGAATGTTGTGTTCACATTCTGATTATTGTGTTAATTGCAGAATAAAATGATTGAATA